CTCGCGTACAGACAGTGTGTTCATGAGGTTCAAGGAGTTTACGTTATGTTTTCACTTGAATTAAGTTATTATCAAATTAAGAGAAAATTTGTTTTACGGCAACTCCAAGAAAGCACTCACACATCCCTTACCCCCATATGTGCTGTTGTATTAGCCCTTCAATTATGAATGTAATGATTAACTCTTAGATAATGGGAAACACAATTCGCATAAATCCAGTCCTCAATTACATATATATCTCAAATCCTATGTTTGTTTAATATTAAAACTGTTATTAAGATTATATTTTTCGCTATCCATTCACTTAATTGATTGCGTCCTTCGGTTGCGAAAAATGCTTTCGGTTTTTAAATATATGTCTCAAAAGTTTGTATGGATTTTATGTGTGATGTTTGGGATAAACTTCAGGTATCAGTCAATTGATAGCAAACACTCCACTCATGAAATCGCATAGATTTTTGTGTAATTAATATTTGTTTCAATCAATTGTTTTGTGTGAATATTCTGTGAATATATGCTATAACTTAAGTCAACACAATGTTTGAATTTGTGATCATTATATTCTGTTATTTATTCATTTATTTATTATTATATCTAAAATATTATTATTCACGACTCGTTAAGTACCCGAAAGGACCCACACCTATACCAGTGCTCGGAAATGTCTGGAGTGAGTGTCCCATAGATATTACGATAATTTTGTTATAATGTGTTGAATTGTTATCATATTTACGATTATACGAATAATTTATGAAATGATAATAAATTACAATAATCTCAAAACAGGCTTAAAGGGTACGAAACATCACCCGTTGGTCGCCATAAATGAAATGAGCAAAAAATACGGTCCGGTCTATACGTTTTGGTTGGGAAACAATCCCACAGTTTTCATTCACGACTTGGATTTGGCCAAAAAGGCGTTCAATACGAGTGCGTTCGCCGGCAGACCTCAAATACCATTCAGTAAATGAGTTATAAAACTAGTTTTAAAAACTTTATAAAGTTTGTAAAAAACAATTTTCTCATACATTATAACAGTAAAAATGTTTTGCAATTCTCGGGGAACTGACGTACTGTTCGCCGATTACGGCAAGAGTTGGCGATGTCTGCGAAATATAACCCATTCGGCGGTCCGTAAGTACGCGACCGAAGACCGGTTCGCGTCCGTCACGTGTGAACTCGTCGACGATATCGTCGGCTTAATGCTGGACAGGGAGGGCGTCGGACAGCCCTTCTCTCCCGTCAACTATATTCAACTCACACTTTATAACATTATATGCTATTCAGTGTTTGGCAAAAAGTTTGTCCACATTTGTGTATTTTATTTAGAAAAATATTAATGCTTTTATTACTTGTTTATTATTTTTATAATATTTAGTGAATTTTATTTTATTAAAACTTTTAAGTTAAAAGTTTCAACTATCTATAAATTTAAGGGTCGATACGAGCGCTGATAGTGAATAGTTTTTGAACACATACACTTTTGCTCAGGGTTGTTTAACCAAAAAATATTATATCGTTAAATATCTTATATAAGGCTATTAAACGCGTCAGACATCGTATGTGTGTTTGTCTGTTATAAAGCCATATAAAAAATTTGTCTAAACCTATCATTAATTAGGAAATATTTACATAATTGCTTTTAACGATTGATTTCTATCTCGTTGTTTTTTGTGTATTGATTGTCGTTTCAGATACACATTCAATGATCCAGAGTTTCTACGTCTGGAGAGTATCACCAAAACAATGTTTGACTTCGGAAACCGAGGGCTTATCATACAATTCATACCCATCTCTGGCCTACTGTTTGTGCCGGAGTTGAGGCAAATGTACAAAATCTTCCGCCAATACAAACACTATATGATCGGTCAGTTTAAACGCCACGAGAAGACCTACGAGGAGGGACTGATCCGCGACTTTACCGACGCGTTGATCGCCGCCCGCAATGAGGCCCGCAGTCAGGGAAAGGAGTCGGCGGCCTATCTTTCCAATTATGTGAGCGATTATATTGTTTTACTTGTTTTTATATTGTGTTTAATTGTGTTTTGCATTGTTCCCTGTCTTAGAGTCTGATCTGTTCCCTATGGGACCTGTTGTTTGCCGGCGTTGACACCACTCAGATCACTGTCCAATGGATGCTACTATTGATGTGTAAGTATCCGGACGTTCAGCGAAAACTACGACAAGAGGTGGAGGACTTGATCGGTGTCCGGGAGCCACAGCCCAGAGATATCAACGACTGTCACTATATTAACGCATTCATATCGGAAACACTCCGTTTCCGACCAGTGCTGCCATTCGGTGTCCCCCATAAGACTACCCAAAAAATTGAACTTGGTAATTGAGTTGAATTTTATAGCTAATGTTTTACAGATATTAATCCACAATTTTACACTGTTTTAGATGAGCTGACACTACCGGCCAACACACTGGTGGTCGTCCATCAGCACCACATCATGAATGACCCGAAACTGTGGTCAAAGCCCGAAGTATTTCTACCGGAAAGGTTTTTGTCGGACAATCACCAGTACCTGAGAGTACGGCCGCCGGCGTTCATACCGTTCAGTATCGGCCAAAGAAGGTGTTTGGGCGAGAAGTTGGCCCTCAATAACCTCTTCCTAATTATTGTCCGATTCATTCAATCCACGAGTGGTTACGATATATCGTTACCCAAAGACGTGTCCGCCGATGACGTAGACCTGGAGCCCAATCCGGACACTGCCATACAGTTTCAATACCCAAAGCCATATAAGATTGTATTGAATAAAGTTTAATATTTGTATATTTTATAAAATAGGTGTTGAAATAAATTTGTTGTTGTTTTTTATACTTAAATTAACGCAAAAGTTTATTATAAAAATAATATTAAAATGAAATAAAATTAGATTTAATAAATTTTAAGCCTTACAAGAAAATCAAAGGAAAATAATAGATACAAAATAAAACAATTAATTTTGCGATTAATTTGTTTATATAATGAGTTCAATATTATTATTACTGATTATAAAAATCATTAGAAAAAATAANAAATTTTAAGCCTTACAAGAAAATCAAAGGAAAATAATAGATACAAAATAAAACAATTAATTTTGCGATTAATTTGTTTATATAATGAGTTCAATATTATTATTACTGATTATAAAAATCATTAGAAAAAATAAAATATAATTAATTGATAGGAAAAAAATAATATTAATTAAAAATTTCATATAAAGGGGATACAAAATTTTGTGTATAAACTAATTTCACGCATAAAAAACACATTCAATTTCAACGCCTATTCCCAATCGCCGACAACATAGCCCCGACCGGCACCGGCAGCCCCACCGCCCCGGGGGCTAAACATCTGGTGGTGGTGTACGGAACCCATTTGATTGGACTTCAATGGGTAGCCATACTTAGACTGTAGACTCAATTTACGATTAATACCGTAAATGTCGTTATTATCGCTACGAACGCTATTATTGCTTATATAACCACTACTTATACTATTAGTGGTGTTTATTTTGGACAGAAAGCTGTCCGACTCGGAGTGTGTCAGCCCGTAGTGACCGCCGCTACCGGCCTTTAATTTGCCCCCAAATAGGCCTTTACTGTTGGCCTTCTTGAGGATCGGCGGCTCCGGTTTGACCACCGATTGGCCGGTCGTTGTGGTTGTGGTGGTAGTGGTGGCCGCTGTTGTCGACCGCTGTTTCGCCTGTTTGGCAAAGTTTGGTACTCTGGCCTTAAATCCACAATAATAGGGGTCTTCTGTTGGGGTTTGAAATTCAAAAGTGGATTAGTATTTGAAATATTGTGTAAATATATGTCATTTTAACATGAAATGAGACACAATTTTGGCATCTAATGTGATTTTGTCTGAAAATAGTCTTATAATTTGGCCACAAATTATATGTTATAACAATAAATGGCAGGAATTTTTATGTCACTCACAAAAACATGATGTGTAAAATTAATGTCATATTATTGTCATAATTTTGTTGTCAAAATTTATGCTTTAATATCTATTATTTGAAAATATATATTAAGCCAACAGTTAAACGAAAGTGTCGTTCAAATCATAACTGTTTAATAAATCAAATAAAAAGGGCTTAAAATAAACAACATTTGTCGGAAAACATGACATATTTTCAGATTAAACCAGTGATTGTCATACATGTGATCGTAGATACAAATAAATTACCAAATTTCCTATCAGTGATAGTCTTGGTCTGAGCGGTGAAATTATTTTCACTGTCCACCTCGTAGTCGGGTTGTGGCAAATCTATCGCATGTTTCTTACGGCCCATACCATCCCTGGGCGGCAGTCGAGGCGGTCGTGCCTTTTCCGAGCCCTGTTTGCCCCCATTTTTGGCCACCCGTTCGCCGCCATTGGGTTGTGTGGGCACAGCGTAAGGGTCTTCGTCGACAAAACTCTTGGACCTCTCAAACATCGCCACCATATTATTGGCCCTCCGGTTGTCAACTAATAGAAAATAATAGATAATTAGAGTTTAAATTTTTAATAATTTAGAGAGAGAGAGAGAGAGAGAGAGAGAG